CTATTTTAGCTGCATTGGATCGCACCAGAACACATAAAAAATGCATGCAAACGCACTGGAATGCACCTGAAATGCCATTTTAAGCAGAAAAAACCCCCCAAAACTCATCAATCACGGTAAAATCGCGGCAACACGCATTGCATTGCAGCTGCGCAGACACATGCAGTTCTGGTGTGAACTAGCCCCTATGGCACGTGTGTCCAGTCTCCAAAAACTCCTGCAGCACCTTCACAGTCTATGACCATCTCCTACAGCATCATCAAACGAACGAACCCTAAGGGGGGCATTTCAGGTTCTACAAAGATACAACTACCAAATACTAAAAAGTATACCATGTTATGAAGTCATTGATAACATATAATAAAAGCCTCGTATTTGGGGATTGTTCCAATGTAAAATGAAAGAAATAAACAAGTTGCACTCTGATGGTGATACTCAGGTCAACCTGACTGCGGCCCGAACAATATTGATATATATTATCACAGACAATATTTGCTGATCCTGGAGTTCAATCCGCGCACCAGCTGGACAAACGTGAACAAAGATTATGTATGGAATGGTACTGCACACGTTGCTGACTTATCTCTGCTCTCCTACCACAGGCATTGTCTATGGTTGGCATAGCACAGCTACCACAGACTCATCACTAACTGCCTTCGGGGGCACTGAAACGCGTGAGCAGCAGCGTTATGGTGAACATGACATCCTGGCTGGCTGATCAACTCAGGGCACAGGATCATGTCTAATGAACTCCACAAACAGCAGGTGGCTAACCACCACACAGCTTCTGGTACAAAGGAAATACGTGATGGTGTTAAGAGCAATGGGAAGAACAGGATAAAACTTTAGTTATAAAACTTTAAAAAAGTGCAATAATTATAAAAGACTTCAGATAGCTGTATATCAGCTAAAATAATAATAGCATAATCGATGTTAAATCAGTCCCAGATGGTAAACCATCTACCATAAATCATCTAACATAAATCCAAGTGCGAAAAGGTGATGAATTCAAGGTGGATTTGAAAATCAAAAACAAAAGAATCTTTGCAAAAAAGGTTCTTCCCACACCACTGTGTAAGTTTTCCAAAGAAATTTCCCCTCTGGGGTGCGCACTCACCCCACTGTTGTGAAAGTAAAGCAGTGTGATTAGATCAAAGGGTCCACATCCATTGGTTTCTCTCTCAGCAATGTCCCGTCCGTCAGGGGTTTATAAAAGCATAAAAGAGAACTTCCTCATGGTGTAGTCAATATAAACGTTTATTTTTAAAAAACATAGAAACTTACAATTAAAATCGTAAACATCGGCCGGTCTAATGCAGCGTGCTGCTCGCTTCTACTTCCTGGTTGAGCGTCACATGGAATAGGCCCGTCCCGACGCGTTTCGTCACAAATTACATCCTCAGGGGGTCGCAGACCCAGATGAATTCCTCACCTTTTCGCACTTGGATTTATGTTAGATGATTTATGGTAGATGGTTTACCATCTGGGACTGATTTAACATCGATTATGCTATTATTATTTTAGCTGATATACAGCTATCTGAAGTCTTTTATAATTATTGCACTTTTTTAAAGTTTTTTATAACTAAAGTTTTATAACTGTTGCACTTTTTTTGAAGTTTGCACTTTTTTGAAGTTATCACCATTCAAGTCACATAGGAGTGATTTAATTGTCTACACTGAGGCCATATAGAGCCTACCACATATTGGGTTTATATGTTCATTTGATGATTTGCACTTTATCATTCTCAATATTCTTATTATTTTAGATATTGATTACACTGTATCACTTAGTAATATTTTTAGAGCTGCACATTTAGCACTTTATTAGTTTGACCCCTGGGTCCATAGCGCAGCAGCTTCTAAACTGTACTCACCCACAAGCGCGGATTTTACAATTTTTACTTTTGCCATTGCTAGTCATTTAAATTTTTTTATGGTAGCCACAAGGGCGCTTTCATGCAATCTATGAAAAGAGAGGGTTGCAGCTTGTTACAAAAGAGCGCCACCCAGTGGAGAATTGTATGAATTACACCAATATTTTTTTCTGACACTTTACATTACATAGTTCAAGCTGAACTCCGGGATAAGCAAATAATGTCTAAATTCAAGAGTCCTGTGTATCCCTATTTGAGAGTGTGCTTTGTATATTTCATCCAGTTCTGTAGAATAATTAATTGTGAAACTTTAAATAACTGGGTTTGCAAAGGCATTTGGTGCACACAAAGTGGATTTATATCCTTTGTGGCTAATGAGGAATGTAGTACAGCTCTCAGAATTCAGATATTTGTCAGTAGTCCTAAGAGTGTGTCATTACTAGCATGATGGTGCATTATGCTGGGTACATTTCTCATTAGGTGTGCCATCTGCATGGGATTAATATGTTTGTGTGGGTTTGCTGCCAGAATTCAAAAACACACCTAGATTACCTCTTGCCCCATCTGCCCTTAGTGTATTCATGCCTAAAGTGGACATTGCAATGTAAGATGGTCCTCGGGCACTGATGTCAATGCTTCTGAATACTCTCAGAATTTGTGGAAGTCATATGAAGGGGATGGTCAGAAAAATCTTGGGCCAATCAGCTACAGTCACTGTTTGGGTATTCTGACACTACAACACCCGCTGCTCTCAGAATACGATAGCCTGGCAGAGGGGAATCAAGAGTTTTCTTTCTTTTCAGGCCCAAGTGCATGGCCAGCCTTACTATGTAATAGTCGTTAGCAGATAGAACAAAGAAGGCTGACTGCTGACTACCTGCTGTAGATAAAAGTAGTTTTCTATGCTGGGTTTAAACAACTGAACCCTGAAAAGAGAGGTAGGCAAAAAGATAAAGAAAATAACAATCCTAAAGCTCATTTAAAGAGGTCCTTCACCCCCCCCACCCCCCATTTTATTTGATTTTTTAAACCCCTCTTCCCTCAATTCATATAATAACTCACCAACCCATGCAGCATTGTCCTGCTGTGATCCTGCTGCCTCATGTGGGGTGCCATGCCACCACCTTCTTCCCTGACATCAATAGGACCTGGCTGTCTCTTCCAGGTTCAAGCAGCCCAGCCAGACCCATATGATGTTCAACCAGGTCCGTCCTCCTCCGTTTGCCGCATGGAAACCTCTAAATATGTGATATTCATATTACAGTAGGAACTTGGAGCGGAGCCTATCATCCTTGCCTTGACAAGAATGAAGGACGGGGCTGGAACGTGAAGGGGGCGTGGTGGTTTAAGGGGAGTTATTTTGGGGTGTTGCCACACTAGCAAAGGAAATGCCTGTAGATACACCTTGCTGGTAAGATCACCAGGTACAGTATGATTTCATTGAAAACAAAAATGTTTAAAGTATATGTCAAGGTATAATATTAAAAAAACCATATGCAGCACAGTACATCTCTGCAATACATACACATGTCCTCATGTTTTATCCCTTTAAATACTCTACAAGTACAGAAACATACCTGTAAATCCTCCAGAAATGCATTCAGCTTCTAAGCCCTGTTATGGACTGACAACACAGATCATTTGTGAAGACTAACTAGTATCAGCTCTGCCCATTGTCTTTTGTTAAACTACTCAACCACTCTCTACGACATAAAGGCTAACCATTCTGTATTCTAAGGTAAGAACTAAACAGATTATTTGAGATAATACAGCAAGTGTGGAGAGGACACAGAGCAGCTCTGGATTTCTGATGTGATCAAGAGGTTTTTTTTCACTTATCAAACTGATGACTTCAAATGGTATATTTATCAGAAGCAAATAAGAAGAGTTCATATGTAGAGTTTACATATACTGTGGCATTACATAAACATGTGCAATTACATATTTGCTTTAAGTGTTTGGGTTTATATATACTTTTACAATAAAGACATGAAAATTGCAAATGGAGTTTAAAAAAGAACTTCCAGCATCCCGGAAAATAAGTGATGACCTATGCAGAAAGTTTAAATAAAACATATGAACTGAACTTAATGTCAAAGAAAGTGAATAGAGGAAGACCTCTTCAGTGTGCTGCTGCTGCTGCTACATTACTTTTCAGACATAAGGCTGGCGTAGAGGTTTTGTTTGGCTTTAAGTGAACATTTCCCATTGTGGGCTCACTGTGCAGCTTTGGTTACAGATTTCACTGCAGTGCCACCTGCTTGTAAAATCTGGTATTGCATGCAAACCAAGCTTACATACACAGCTGTGCTTCCTGACCATCGATGCATCTTATTTGTTGGACTACAATCCACTTATTGTTACTAACAACATCAAGACAATGGTACTGTTTCTTTTCACAGGGGGTATCAACAAAGAGGGACTCCTCCTAAGTGAATCCCTTTAAAGAGCAACACACCGCAAAGTGAATTCTTTTATGGTGGAATGAGGCACAGTTTAATACTTTTCCATTTATTGCATAGATCCTACAGGGGATAATCTCCCCAGAGTGCAGCTGTGATAGATTGATAGCTCATCAGAGAACGAAGTTATCCACATATTTAAAACAAGAGTCCGCTAGAGGTCAGAGTGGATTCTCCTGTATTAGAAATCTCAGCGAGGATTTGGGAGAGCAAGCCAATGGCACCCTCTCCTACTCCAGCCAAACAGGAGAAAAATGCTCAAAGAGCTCCGAGGACTCAACGCTCTATTCCAACCTCAGCTGCAGTAAATTCACACTCTGGGTGCAGGCTCTAGTGTGCCACTTCCCAAATCAATCTCCAAAAGATCAGCTGGACAAAGACCAGGGTGAGTGTTGTCCAAGATTTATTAGAACGACTCCAAGCAAATTCCCAAAAGACAGATATAAAAGAGTAATGATCAGCATGCACATCACCATAAATGTCTCCCACACCAACATCCTGATCATTACTCTTTTGGATCTGTCTTTTTGGAATTTGCTTGGAGTCGTTTTAATAAATCTTGGACACTTACCCTGGTCTTTGTGCGGTTGATCTTTTGGAGATTGAACAGAAAAATGATGTTAATGGAGTGGCTCTGTGGGCTTATTTCTAAAAAGGTATTTCCAGGCTCATAATGTCTGTCATCTTGTTGTGACATGAGTTTGGAGGTAACATGGCGTTGGATGCAGCAGACCTCCCATGTCCCCTCTCAGAACGCCAGCCACTCTTTTCCGTAGGTGTTTGGACAGCATGGGGTTGCTGGGGTGGACCTCTATGACGTGAAGTGTGTAGGTGTCAGCGCTGGTGGATGTAAAGCCACAGTCCTCACATACGTAGATCTTGGAGCGGCGTTGGCGGTAGGCATAACTCTGTAGCACCCCATGGATCTTGCGCAGATGAGATTCCAGTGAGCAGCGTTGAGTAAAGGATTTATCACAGGCTGGACACTTGTATGGTCTGATTCCTGTATGGGTATACAAGGTGTCAGTTTTGAATTCAACAATTGTAGAAGGAGCACAACCAGTGAAACAGATCCCAACATCGCCAGCTTACCTGTGTGAGTCCTCATGTGACGTTTCAGATCGAACGTGTCATTAAATCCTTTAGCACAGCACGGACAGCGGTGCCTCTTCTGGATGCTGTGACACTTCAGGTGACGGGTTAACATACGTTGCAGTGGGAAAGTCTTCCTGCATGCCCGGCAAGAGAATGGGCCCTGGATGAAAGAAGGATGATGGCACAAAAAAAAGACAACAAAGGAGTTTTATATATACATGTCTGACATTTTTTATCTCCAGTAGCCAACTGTAGTAGGGCCAGTGTACATTGCATTTGCAATGGGTCTACATTGGCTTGTTTGGCAGAAAAACAAAAAAAATTTTCAAACTTCCTTCAACTTTCAACAACTTTCTGCAGCTTCTTTAAATGCACATTAGGGTGCAGGACACACACACTTTGTGCATGTGTTTTGAAGTTGTGTTCATTTGTCTCTGATGGGCCACCAGCATGTGCACCAAACAACACACATCACGTACCGCAACACATACACCAGTAAGCAATTGTGGAAATGGGTGGGCATATGCAGCAGTGGATGTACTACAATGGGTGTCAAAGTATCAAGTAAGGTGGTACAACATACTTTGCAAATCACATGCAAAGGTGTGAAATGACAAACTGCACCCCTAAAAAAAGCTGTTGTTTCCCCATTTCCCTTGCTGAATGGCTGTACAAAATCACCTGTAGGGGAAAAAAAAAGTTTTGATCGTGTGCTCACCTTTTCCCAGGCTTCTGCCCATAGTACCTAGGTGAAGGTAACACCATTCTCCTCCCAAAATGATCTGGGGAATATAGTGTAGTCCAAATCTCACTGAGAAGATGCTCCCACCACTGTGCCACAGCATCTTCTCACGAGATTTGGTGCACTCAGCATTCCCTGCGATTTCGTTGGAGAATGGTAACATCGCCCTCTGCACTACAGAAGCCACGAAAAAGGTGAATACATCTTTTTTTTTTCCCCTACGGGTGTTTCATTTTTATACTTTTTCCAACAGTTCTGCAAGTGGGAGGGGGCAAACATATACAGTGGACCTTGCATGGAGTCAGCTTTAAGGAACCCTGGGAGCTGCCATTGATTACTTGAATTTAGAGGGTACATTGTTATTTTGGGGTCAGATTCCCTTTAAATGAAAAGTCTGTTCACTGGGGTCCAGATTGCAATCAGTATTTTCACTTCTCACCTCTGTAGCTGTTGGAGTCTGTGTTTGCCGTTCTGGTGAGTAAGACCAAAGTATGGAATCTGTTAAATTAAGAAGACCATAAAAATGAAATACCAGTGACTGACATTCACATAAAAAAATACAGTGAAAATAATTGGAGCTGTATTTTGATACAGAAATGGTCTAGGTACAATGTTCCACATACAATGGTCTAGGTACAATGTTCCACATGCAATGGTCTAGGTACAATGTTCCACATGCAATGGTCTAGGTACAATGTCCCTGTAATAGGGTATCCCGTGTCCGGCGCTTGGGGCCGCGGGCCGGCATCTTCAACCAGCGGCGTGACGTCACGAGGAGACCGAGGCGGCGCACGGCGCGCTCGGCTCCTCCCCCTCTGGGATCCTCCTCCTCATAATGACGCGAGTTGCAATGGCTCGGCGTTCTAGTGTTGCGAACGTCGAGCCAGTGCAACTTGCCTGATAGCGAAGAACACAGAACGATCAGCAGTGACGAGAGCCTGCTACTCACCTCACTCGAAAACGCTCCTCTTACCCTAGGGTGCTCCACAGGGATCCTTCCCTGCTCTCCTCGGACTCCTCATTTGGGCTTGCCTCTTGGATCTCTCCCTGGAACTGCCAGGACTTCAAATAGCAGCCCCGGACCAGCTACTGGACTGTTAACCCATCCTTAACTGCAAGTACTCTGCCCTAAAGGCTGATCTATAGAGAGTGTCAACAATTACTCCTGTGCACCTGATTACAGTGATAACTGTGAACTTCTACTCCTGTACAAATTGTATACTAATACTATTATAGCACTTTCTTATACAACCACATAGCAGAGGTCTCAGTGGAGAGTGTGGGGTTAAGGTGAATGCATTGTATACATACGAATCATACCATCTAGAGGCTGCTGGTTACCACATAGATACATAGGAGTACTGCTCTGCATACCTATAGGGGACCTCCAAACCCCCATCCTATACTGTGATTGGCGTATGATGTGATAGAGGGTTACGACATCACTCCATACCATACAGAGTGTAAACAGGAACCCTCGATCTGAGCCAATTCACATACACAGGTGCCTAGCCAATTTCCGCAGCTGCGATCCAACCCAACCTCCTTGGCTCACGCGTTACAGTTCCACATACAATGGTCTAGGTACAATGTTCCACATGCAATGGTCTAGGTACAATGCTCCACATGCAATGGTCTAGGTACAATGTTCCACATACAATGCTATAGGTACAATGCTCCATGTACAATGTATGCTCTATGTACATTGATCCACGTACAATGTACGAGTTACAATGCTCTTCGTAGAATGCTCTAGGTACAATGCTCTACTTACAATGATCTAGGTGCAATGCTCCACGTACCATGGTCTACCACTTACAATTATCTAGGTACAATGCTCCATGTACAATGCTCTAGGTACCATGGTCTACCTACAATGGTCTAGGTACAATGCTCCAGGTACTTCACATTCATTGAGTACTTTATTAAGCGTAGGGTCACATGATTTTCAAGCTGCTTCTGACTTTTTAGTTACAGTAAGTGCTTCTGAGTACTTTCAACAGTGCTTAGTATTTTTTCTGGCCTGGTGAGGGAAATGTATCAAGCAAATTAAAAAATCTTAGAGACATTTCAGACACTTTTACAAATCAGTCTATAGCGCATTTAGCAAACTATGTGACTGTTTTGTGTACTTGCGTCCCCTGCGCCTGTAATCCTGGACAGCCAACTAAGACAGTTTTGCAAAGGTCAGTGGCAGGTTTTGAAGTTGGCCATACATTGTCCACATTTTGGCCAAGTTCTGCTGACTTAGCCGAAATTCGAACAGTGTGTTGCCCTAGTGGCTCCCCTCCATTCAACAAAAGTCGACTTTTGTCAAAGAAGCCAGTCTGAAAACTCTCAGCCAAACTGTTCGGGTATTCTGACAGAGGCACACATGAACAAATTGGCTGAGAATACGATAGCTTGGCAGGGGAGATTCCCCCGTCCATGTTGTTTAGCATGGATGGGGAAAACAAGCATTTTTTCTTGTTCAGCCCAGTATGGCCAGCTTTACCCAAAACACATACATCATTCCAAAATGGTTTTTAGAACAGGGAAGGAACAGGGGGAGGAATAATGAATAAAGCTGCCATCCTATAATAAATCTGTCTCATACTAATCATGGGCATATTTCCATAACAACTACATGTGTCCATTTTGTACATACATAATAAATGACTTTAAATATAATTTCCATATTTTCCATATTGTCACTGGCAAACCTTTCCGTTTCATTTAAATGATTATTCCCTGTCCATTTATTAGAATAAATACAGCAGGCTCCCAATTGTATTTATCTTACATTTGCATGGCTCAGCTAACGCAGGGAATTGATTCACACAGACAGAGAGATGGGAACAAGAAATAGGTGGGAGGTAGACCGAGATTAGTGGTCAATCTATGTAAACATATATAATTGTGCGGATACGTTGAATAGGTGCCTCTTTTGTTAATGGGTCCCCCAGCTGCAGAGAACAAACACAGCAGTGCATCTATTGTGCATGTGAATAGCCGGGATTTCAGCACATTTGGCTATAACTGAACTTTGATCCATGGCACTTCTGCAAGGAATTCATCAAAGGTTTACTTGTAGGCACATGGAGGGGAATTTATCAAAACTAGAGCAGACATAATCCGGAGCAGGTGTGCATGGCAACCAATCAGCTTCTCGCTTTCATTTTCAAAGCAAACAAACTGTAGAGAGAAGCTCATTGGTTACTACTATGTTTGTTCTAGATTCTGGCTGCTCTAGTTTTGATCAATTCCCCCCAAAAACAGCAGTAGTTCACATTTATTCATTGCAGTCAGATCAATAAAAGACAATGGCAGACTGGTGTTACGGGTTATATTATTTATGTTATTGTACTTTCATTGGTCCAATGACCAATAGGAAGCATTTCTTGCTAAGAAAACTGCAGGAGGGGGTGTATATAAGACCAATCATCCTGCACAAGGAGAGAGAGCAACAGTGACTGGTCTTTTGTGCAGAAAGCTCCTACAAAAGGTTCACATTGGACTGCACTGATCTTGAAACACATAGCACACCATAATTCAGGTAAGAATACATAGGACTCTTGTATTTAGACAATATATGCCTATCATGGAACTCAGCTTCAATTATGTATAACTCATCTTACCTGGAATGTACAGGTCTCCTCGTTCTGCATCCACAAGATGCCCCCATCCAGTTAATCCCACGGCAGAGCGATTTCTCCTTACCAAGAATGAGCGAGGCATAGCCCTGGTGTTAGTAATTATCGAATGGTGAAGTTGTGCAGAAACTCAATTTAACAAAAACAAAAAAAATAAAATCCAAATTTTCAGTCTGGCCTGTGATTAATCTATTCTTCAGATCCATCCATTTATGGTGATGGAAAAATCATGAAGATATAGGAATCTGATGTAGAAGCCAAACAATATAACAGTATACACTATACTGGGAAAGTCATGTACACCTATCAAAATAACACATATTATATACAGTATGTCATGTTAAGTATGAGCAGTATCAGCCTCAAAAAATCTATGGGCACCTTTATGGCTTATACAGACATTTGGCACTCAGTTCCTAAGCCTGCTAAGTGTCCTCCAAATGCTTGGTCTGAAACAGTTCTCGGCACACATGCCCATGTTCACAGGCCCTGTCTTTGTATTGCACTAGCCTTAATGTTAACCAGAGACACCTGGCTATTGGCATGCATTGCTTCTCCCAGAAGAAGAAGGAGTTGGAAGCTCAAGAATTCAAGAAAGCCTTTCAACTGCACAAGACCTTTGTCTTGCTACAGAAGATGGTGTGAATCTTTAAAGGAGGAATTCAGTATGAATGGTGCTTGGGTAATAAGATAGAAGGATTCAAAAGCATTAGGCCACATTCACACTGCGCGATTCGCAAATCGCGCGTTTGTCGCGCGATTTGCATTTTGCGCGATATCGCGCAAATGCTTGCATTGAGCAAGCTTGAATCGCGGCTAAATCCGCTCCAAAAAGGGTCCTGCTGTAGCGACGCACGACCCGCGACAGCAGGACCCTTTGACCCATTGAGAAGCATTGGAGAGCGATATCGCACGGTAAATTGCCGCGATATCGCGGGAATTACCGTGCCATAAATCGCTAAGTGTGAACGGGGCCTTAATCAGGATCAACACTTCTTACTGCACCAAATGAAGGATTTTGGCTATTCAGAGGCTGGTCATAACTTTTCTATGTTATCTGGCATACATAGCCCATATATGCTCCTGCTGTTGCAATGTTCTGGCAGAACTGTACAACAATATCAGCACCTATGGGCTACATATGCTAGATAACATAGAAAACTTTAAGAGCCCAGCCATGAACACTTTGAAGTATGGAAATAGTTTTAAATTAGGGATGTTCGGATACCAAGTACCATACTCGGTACAACTACAAGTACAGATACTTTTCCAGCTCTAGACTAGACCAGAGAAAAATTCAGGAAGCAGCTGTCAATTTTAAGGTGCACACGGAGCTCCTGGGATTTGTGCATCCCTGGTTTAATGTATGATTTTTTAAAAATAAATATATATGTGATGCACCGATACCATTTTTTTAAGTACAAATACTGATAAATTTTTGTTTATTGTCATGTGACCGTTTTTCTAAAACAATACAGACTAATGATTTCAGGACAGTGGTGGAGAGCCAGAGCCAGGTCCCAGCTGCAACCGCTGCAACCCTGGTAGTTCTCATGAAAATTCCAAGTATCGGCACTGGTATCTGAACTGATATCTGGACATCCCCTCCCCTGTAGAAAAGCATTATGGGGCCTGCTGGTTCTCTTCGTCAAAGCCAATCCTGGTATTAAGACCTGTGCTATTCTAAAGTAGATAAAACTACAGAATACACAATGTTTTTTTGGAAATCAGTTTGAGGAGCCTGAACTAAATGCACACTATATTTCTATATTTCCTATTGTGTAAAATATTTTTGTAGATGGGATATATCATAATGGAGCCACACTGTGCTGAGCCCTCTGTATTCTTGGGCCCCATAACATCCAAAAGACACTGCTGCTTAGGATATCTGGAGTTGTGCAAAATTGTAACTTGTATGCTGCGTTCATAAGGTGTATCTCTAGTTAAAGTCCAACTTAAGCCAATACTTTTTTTTAGTTTTGGATAGGGTGGAGAGGGATTAGTACACTTGTCAGGTTTTTTATTGCAGTCTGTGTCCAGTTATGGAGATTCACCCTCTCTGTTTGCCCTGTTTGCACTCTGACCGAAAGTGAAAGAAAATCCCACATTTTGGGTTGTCTTTAGAACAGGAATAGGTGGAAAGTCTTCCAATGGGGACACCCTCCCTAACTCTATCCAAAACTCAGAAAAACATTTTGGCTTTAGTTCTACTTTATTGGGTCCTAACATGTACATGGGCATGTTGGATGAAGAAAAAATAAATAAAATGAAAGCAATAATCATTTTCTAAACATTTCACCTTGAATGCATGCAGTTTTTTAGAGGATCACAATTTTTCCAAACAATTTTCTGCTTGCATAAGAGAAGCTTTCCAGCATGTTGGTATATATCCGCTGTTGATACAATAGACTTTATCAGAACACTAACCATCAACATCCTGTCCTGCACTGTTGCCGACAGTCAGTATAGAAGGAAGTGGCGTCTACTTTAAGGAGGGATCAGCCAGCCAGGCACACCTTCCTGCTGTGTATGTCCCTGGATGGGAGCTCTGTTACTTCGGAGTTAGGGGCAACAAATTACAGAGGGGGCCTTGACCAGACAGTGTGACCTCCACATAGATATGATGGCTGAAATAAATTATAAGCAATATATTTAGGTTTGTGGTATCTGAGAGTAATCTAAGAACAGCATAACTCACCTTGCTGGGTGGAATCAGTGCAGAGATGCTCTTAAGACGACAGCCTATATACAGAGAGATGACAATGTCTGCAGGGTCCTTTATTTGTTCCGAATAATTTGAATGTCCCAACATTTTGCATATGAAGCTGAGCTCCTCTTCTCACATACATAGAGAAAACGGCTCTTCCTCCCCATGCAAAACTAGCAGACGGACAAACAAGAGGGAGATAAGGGGCATTGTGATGGGACAGTTCATTTTAAAAAGGCAAGCGCCTATACCATATTGATAAGTCCCACCTGACATGACTGTATCCTGTTACTGGCTTTTCAGATTGAGAATGAGGGACATTTGCTGCCTGTGTGCATACAATTTTTGCATGTATTGTGTTCAACTCAATGCTGGAATTAACGGGATGTCATTAGTTGCTGCTCTGAATTCATTTGACTGTCCCGTTGCCCCTGTGACTTATTTGATTAACAAATGTTGTTAGCTGAGATTTGCAGTGTGTTAACCTCTTATGGCTGGAAGCCTGTTATGCTGGCTATATACAGTACGTTATACCTTATTACAAATGCAACAGATTTGGCCATCATTGTCCTTATGGGTTAGAAATAAACAGCAACGTCAAAGAAGCAACAAAAGCCAGTTACGCTGGTTAAAGAAAGACCAAGCTGAAAGCGATCTTTTAATCCAGCAGAAAATCTTAGTGGAAAATGACATTCAAGAATAGGAAACGGATGAGTTGGAAGTAGATTTTGCAGTTGCAGTGATTTTTAGAACTGGGTTTTTTCTTTCTTTGCAATGAGTGAAATATAACTATGTGGATATATTGTGGACTGAATCTGTGGTTAGAGTTCCACTTCCTTGGATTACAGATACACATAGTGTAAGTATCCATTTGGGTTATAAATGATGATGGTGGCAGCAATATAAATATCCAGATATTGGATTGGTATGCACTTTCAATCAGAGAGACTTTGGGAGAAGCGGATTATCCTAAGCATTCTATTTTTGGACTTTCAGTGCACCACTTAAATTGGTAGCTATTGGAAGTACAATCTTTGGATACCTTTCATGTTGGTACACTAGTGGTACAGACAGATACCCCGGATTCCTGTTGTTAAATTCTTTTAATTAAGTGCTTTTTTTAAATAGTTGCCGTTTTGGAATTCATAAACTTTTTTGATGTTGCAAGTATACTGTTCAGTCTAATGAATTTGGCTATATGGCTCTGATACAGGTGTTATGTGGTCGGAACCATATTTTGTGATACAAAAGAGTGAAATTTCTGTTTGATCCTGACCATTTAAAAAGGCACAGCTTTTATAAGATCAATAGATGCAAGGGCCATTTAATTCTTAGTCCCTCTCCAAACAAAAAACATTAAATGAATTTAACATTAAAGAAAATATACTTACCTCACACCCAGACTTCCAGTAGGTTTACCTAGGTGGCAATGACATCAGTCAAAGGCTTTCCAATGGGATTCTCAGAATGCTCTTTATCCAAGGTCCCATGAGCATGTGCTCTTGCACAGTGCTGGAATATCTTCTTGCAAAATGCGGGGCCCTAAGCATCTCCATCTGGATCCTGGAAAGGCTGAGTGACATCACCACAGTCCGTGTAAACACGTCATAAGTGTCAATGTAAGGCAAGTACTTTTTTTTTTCTCCTAATGCGTAATTATATTTCAGGTTTTCATTTGCAAGATTGTTTGAAGTAGGAGGAGGATTGGGTGGGGGAAGCTAAGGGCATAAGGCAGAGGCCAAATTTAAACCTTTCCCCAGTGATGTTCCGCTTTTCACCATGCTTTACAGTAACACATAAACCGCAGTGCACTGTGACCCCAATTGTTTGAAAAAGCTCCCCAGTGCACATAACAAGACATGGGAAAAAATAAAATCAAACAGGTGTGTCATAAAGTTTGTTGCAGTGCATTGGCGATCCATCTAGAAGGCAGGCCTTGCCATAATGTTCTGCAAAGCTCTGAATCTGGACTAAAAAAAGTCAGTAGATCTTGTGCAATCAATGCTCATGCTATTTTTTTTAGGCTATATTGGACCTTACATAAGTAAACCTTCAACACACTCACTTATATCTCTGTACCAATATATCTGAATGTAATAAAATATACAATCAAATTGTAATACGTGTTCTTTTCTTTTATCTTCCCCACCATTACTAAGCTTTGAACTTGAAATTTCAGCAACCTGGTTAAATGAAAACTCATTTGCTTATGTAAGCAAACAAAAAAACACATTTGGTTTAAATCACCCTGGAATGGGATCCCGATTTTCCAGCTGAAAGAACTCTCCTAAAACAAACTATTAAGCAACATTTTATGTTTTTGGAATGCAAGTCCACTATGGCAGCCACAGGCAGCAATCATGGAGGTGTTGAATGGGGCCAATGTTAATTAAGTGTCACAAGAACATTCAAGTGTCTGAAATAGAACCATTAAGGGTTGGCCTTCAGACCTGGACTTTTCCATCTACTTTCATACATAAGTTTGCATCCATGTGGGCTCCTCAGTGTGAATAGCAGAGCAGCAGCTGACCAAGTATCACAGCAGGGGACAGGAAGCAGAAGAAAATTGTAGTGGAGAGAACAGCAACCAAACATGAATTGAGTAGTGTAGTATCATTAATGGAGAAAGCCATACAAAATACACAATAAAAAGGTGCAAGAAAAAAAAAACAGGAAGCTCAGCAGAGAAGTGGGGAAAGCACTGAAAATGGTTAGCACAGAATGCCAGAAACTGGAGCAGAAAGTTGAAACAGGGTTGCTGCTAGAAGGCTTGAAGTAAAAGTATAGCGTAAACTGTTGGCGCTGTATAAATCCTGTATAATAAGAATAATAATAATAATAGACTGCATGCAGAAGAAATTATTAGAAATGGGGCTGGAAAGTAGAGCTGCAGCTAACGATTATTTTCAAAATCGATTAGTTAGCCGATTAATCGGATAAACAATAAAATACATTTTAAAAAATTGCTCCATTGATGGGACTACTAGTTTGTATTGAGATTGCAGTCCATCACAGGAGCAAGCTTGGAGCGGTGGAAGTAAAAAAGAAAAAAAATAGTGTGGTGTGCAATATAGTGAAATGGAAAGTGTAAAATTATACAGCAATGAATGCAAAATGGCACCGGCTATAGAGGACTACAAATCCCAGCTATAGTACATTATACAGCGCAATGCAGAATATAACCAACTATAGAGGAGTGCTCCTCTATAGCTGGTGGAATTCCGCATGGTGCTGTATAATGTATTATTGCTGGGATTTGTAGTCCTCTATACAGCGCAGTGCAGAATACCACCAGCTATAGAGGAGTACAACAAATCCCAGCAATAGTACATTATACATACAGTGTATAATGTATTGCTAGGATTTGTATTCCTATGTATAATATACAGCACAATGTACCATCAGCTATAGAGGACTACAAATCCCAGCAATACATTATAGAGCACCATGTGGGGGAAAGTGCAGGCTTACCTGAGCAGTCTTCCAGCAACTTGCTTCTGAGATCGGGTCTGTCTGTCGACGGCTGTCATCCCCCCACACCTGCTCCTCCTTACTACATCTCCCCGCGTCCCTGTGGATGTGGGCGGGCGGTGAGCGTGAGGCGGGAAGGAGGTGCGTCGTGTAAAGCGTGGATGCGGGTGGGCGGGTCTGGCAGCGATGAGCGTGATTTGGGGAGGAGGTGCGGCACGCAGCGTGTGTGTGGAGCGTGTGTGGAGCCATGAACAGGGCCAACTGATCGGAAGCCGATTAAATCGATTGAAAAAGTTGACAACTTTTTCAATAATCGATTATGTTGCAGCCCTACTGGAAAGTAGTGCAAATATGATCAGACTATAGAGTGGACAGTGAAGGCAGAGTTGTCAGAATATAGTACTGACAAAGGAGGTTACCATGTGAAAAATTTAAATGTGGAGAAAGCTGCAACATGAACGTAGAAAGCATTTAGCAATGTGGCCAACATGTGTAGTGAGGATGTGGACATGTCTACACTCGGGGCATGAACATTGGACAATATCTACTTTTGACCAATTAAAGGTGCAATGCAAATCTCCAGAAACGATCGGAGAGAAAGCATATATCCTTTCCTGCTACAGTCAGTCATGGCGGCAGAACCTTCCAGCAGAGAAGCAGGAAGCTGCATTCTCTTTATACTACACAGGAGGAGGGATTGAGACTCATGATGTAAGCAGCTGATCCAGAATGTCTTCTATGCAGTGTGAACTCACAGGAGATATGATGTAGCCTGATAGGAAAGTAGAATCCTCCAACAAAAACAGAAAAGTTCCAATGCCTCATTATACTACAGACAATAAAGCTGTCTGCCACAGAAATTAAGCCACCAAAGTATATAAAACTTTGCAACCAGTGATCCTGGAAAGTCACTATTTGCACATGTAGAAGGAGACACTGATCAATGAAGATAAAAATAAATGTACATTTATTTAACAATAAAAACACATGAAGTAAAACAAAATCCTTCAGCAAGGGAGATCACTCAGTCCAGCGATGACCACAGTGTGGGGCGGTGCAGACATAGTACAGTCTCATGGCATCCTAAAAGAGAATTAAAGTACAACATGAATTTAGGGGGGGGAAGAAGACAACACAACTTTACTTTGATATAAAGCAGATTAGTTTACTATTGCGACAGTTTTTACAAAGATGTTTTTCGCTATATCTTCCATTACACTTTACAGGTTTATGTAAAATACGGTTTTACTGACATTCATTGATATATGATGGACAGAAATAGGATATATTAATAAAGCAGGTATACTGCCCCTGGTTGCCGGCAGTGGATAGACCCCGCTCTCAGCCCTCTTATGAACCATACCCTGAAAGTGTGGGACTCATTGAAATATTCTTCATGCCTGATATCGCCGTCTCTACCCCTTCTGCCCATATCTTCCCAACCATTATTTATCCCAGCATTTACCAACCCGACACTGTTTAAGTGGTGGACCGATAATGGCTTCACGATACTGTACGATTTTTATCGCTCCTCTAACCTACCCACCTGGGCATACCTTAAAACACACATGCAGATCCCTGATGCAGAACTGTTTAGGTTTATTCAGCGCCAACACTGGGTATCCACTATGCAAACGAGCAGACACTTATCAACCCACTTACCACCTTCGAGCATATCTGCCTCTATTCACCTGGAGGACCCAAACAGGTGTCAATCCTATATACTAATCTGAATTCTTTGCCTCGTACCAGCTTTCACTCCTATTCTAGCCAATGGTCCACAGACCTAGGCCTAAACTGGTCTGATGAGGAGTGGAAGGCGGTGTGGGAAAACATTTCTAAATGCTCCAATAATGTGACGAATTCTGAGGTTGCCTATAAAGTGATGTTTCGTTGGTACCTAGTCCCCACTCGGTTAGGTAGAATGTTTCCGTCAACATCTATCAATTGCTTCTGAGGATGTTCGACCCCAGGGAACATGCTACATACTTGGTGGTCGTGCCCTTTTGCAACCCTGTTCTGGACCAGAATATTCCGTCTACTCTCGACCCTATTTGATAGGAACATCACTAAAAACCCAACACAGGCGCTGCTTCATGCTTCATGCTTCAGTGCCCGGATTGACTAAATCCCAGCGTGCACTGACACACCAAATTTTTATCGCTGCCAAATTAACCCTAGCAGGACACTGGAAAAAGCCATTTATACCATATCAGGAGTTTATGCATAGACTAGATAATATTCTCAAATGAACGGATGTCGAGTATCCTCAATGATTCACATACTAAATTTCTCAATACCTGGGAACCTTGGCTAAAGCATAACCACCCCGAACTAGATATCAATACCCTTAACCGCCTGTGATGTGGTCAAATGAGTTGAGGGGGAACTACCTGTGGGAACACCTGGACGAGACCTGTAGACATGTGGACCAAACCTAAACCTGATCACCGAGGAAGACCGACCGATGGACTCCTTCCGATTCCCTCTCCCCCACCCCTTTTTCCTCCCTTTTACTTTATATCGCATTGATATTTATACATCGTATTTGCGTTGACATTTTATGGATTTCATTATATTGCCTATGTGGCCTATTGTGGCCGGCGAATACTATGTGAAATGCTGATTGTTTAATTTTTGAAAAACCCAATAAATACTTGGTTACAAAAAAGCAGGTATACTGGGGGCAATATTTTGAACACACTGGTGTTGATTTACTAAAGGAGTAGACTATGTTCCCTTTGCAAAGTGAGTGTTCAGCTCTGTGAATAAGGTGAAGCTGTGCACTTCAATCTTCCAATCATGAGCAAGAAACAATCCATTTTTTTCCCCCTTGTATACGATTGGGTTTTCGAAATGAACACAGCCTCAGCTAATTAACTTTAAAAAAAAAAAAAGGAGAGAAATATGTTTGCTCTGAGCAAAAATTTGCTTTTGAGTGAGTGGCATGTGGTGCGAGCATCAACCTTGTATAGCTAGAAATATTGGTGTTAATAAAAGGACACAGGACAGTACCTCAGCTCTTGCACTGTGAGACTGGAAGAAAACAGCTTCTTTATGTCCACACCTAGAAAAGAGACATTCATTACACACTATACTGGATGAAAGACAAGCAGGAAATCTACTGGGTAAGATCACTTACTTTGAACAGGGATGATCCTCTGTACGGGGCAGTGTGGGGTCCTGAGATACATCAGCAATGATCTGAGTCAGTTCACTGGGAAAGAAATTCAAAACATCTGCTGGATTAGCATTATCTTTTATTAAAAGGAAGAGAATACAATAATTGATCAGAACACGATCCAACTAGTCAGCAAAAAAAAAGGATAATGAATTATTTACCTGGAACATTTACATAGCAATGAATACCACAGTAAGCATACCTTGGAAGATGTACCCTGTTTCCCCGAAAATAAGACCTACCCCGAAAATAAGACCTAGTTGTGACCATCCCCAGGGCCGGTGGTGGCATAAGGGGGAACTTGAAGAGCCGTGGAAGAGAATCAGTGGTGCCAATGAAGCCAGCGCTAGAGGAAGCGAGGCGGCAGCGGAGGGAGCAGAGCCGCATAAGCCGATGCTTCTTCTATTGCGCCGGCTCCTGTCAGAGGCGGAGTGATGCCAAATGCATTCCGCCTGTGAGGAATCGATAGTGAAGGTGTGCTTCGCTCATTCTGGCCAGCGATTGGTTAGCAAATTGCTCTTGGAATGGTACGGCACCCCTGATCACCATATTTTTGTACATGAATACATGTAGACTGTTGTACAGGAATAGTGTGGATTGTTGTACATTAAAATAAAAAACAAAATAAGACCTACCCCGAAAATAAACCTAGAGTGGTTTTTTGAGCCAAAAAAAATATAAGACAGTGTCTTATTTTCGGGGAAACACGGTACTCAGTAATGTATTAGCAGAATCTCTACTTGCCACTGTCCCTGTCCCTGCCCTCTCCCATACACAGCTTGAAGTGGCCTTTTTTTAACAAGACACTGCACTCTCCCAGTGACAGCAGTAAGTGAAGAGATTCTGGTCTTCACCACAGGACAAGCAGATGAATGCCGGAATGTGAACTGGAGAAAGTCAGTGGGTGGTCTATGTCCTCTATGTTTAAACACAACATTTTCATGTTTGATTAAAGTCGAACTCTGGATAAAAAAAAAAAAAAAAACCTCACAGCTTGTTTATGTCTGGGGGTACTGTGTAAAGGACTTTTACTGATCCTCACCTCTGTTCCCTACGCTATGGCTCATGGACTGTTCCTTTGTGCCTTCATGTAGGGCTATGGGCCCTGCATTAGAAGTGATGTCAGCGAGCCTCTGACCATTGGAGCAGAGAGGCTGTGGGCAGCGGTCTTGAAGCCTGCATCAGTTAGATAAAAGTGCTTTACACCATACCCCTAGACATAAACGAGCAGTTAAATCCTTGCAGTCTGAGGTAGCCCCAAGAGGGTAGTTTTTGTTTTTTTTTCTTATTCCTTTTTTTTTTTAAATTTATAACTGTAGATAGGCAAAGTGTGCTTATAATAATAACGTCCTTTCCAGTTGCACCACATTAATATAGTGCATTTCTTGCTAAGTAACCAAAAGAAAGATTATACATGGAGATCAGAATCCTATGAACCAATGAAGAGGATACTCACTCAACTTCATGTGTGATTTTATTTACATAAATGCAGCAGTTATCGGCCTCCTGTTGGTAGTCACAGTTTCGACACTACAAAAAGGAGAGAAAATGAGAAGCAGTTGGGATTTGAAGAAAAAGAAAAGAATTGTTGTACGTAATACAGATATAAATATCAAGGCTGCAACAAATAATCAATGATAATCAATAATGAGAACGGTTCTCATTATTGATTCATTGATTCTGCTTGTTTCATGGGCTCTGTCTCCCCTCCAATACCCATTGCTCCCAGCGGGGATGGAGGGGACAGTCCCATGCAGCCAGTGTTCAGCAGTGAGAAAAGCTCCGTACCTCAATCTCCCGCCAGCCTCACTCCCCTCCACACCCGCCGCTCTGCTACCTGTTCTCCTCCGCCTCGCTGGGAGCCTCTGCACGCTGCAGTCTGTGTCCCCTCCGATCCCTCTCGCGGCCTGTATTGGCAGAAGCAGTGGGGATCGAAGGGGACACAGAATGCTTCAGCCAGTGCCCAGTGGGGAGGACATACCGGCGCCAAACTCCCCCCTGCTGTGTCCACCACCGCCCTTGTGCCCACGTCGGGGAGGACTTGATTGAGAACGTTCTCCTTCAGGTCCCTCCTCTGCTTATTGACAGCAGACAGCGGGTGGGTGCAACAGCCTATAGCAGGCTGCCTATTACTCCCAGCCACTGCCTGCTGAATTTACATTCCCCAGCTAAAGCTATTGTAGTGGAAAGGTGACTAATCACATGTACACATGATATATCACATGAACACAGGGAGGGGAAAAAATATGTTTTTTTTCCCCTCAACCATTCAGAATTATTAAGGGGGATAATCTGGCTAAACATCCCTGGAATTTTTCTTACCGCATAAAGCAGGATACGATTTTCTTTGTCTTCTTTGGGGTACAACATGTTGTTGCTAAAGAAAAAAAAACAAAAAACAAATGTTATAGAACACCACTAAATGTATTGCAGGAATTTTTCTATGTGGCTGGCAGAACGAAAGCCTTCTCAGAGAGCATAGAGAGACAGACTGCTGTATGCTACCAATACAAAAGGACTGTACAGCGCAACAGTCACAGATCACAAACCATCACAGCTACCAACCTCAGGAGGCGGGTGTCAGGATGGCTTGTTGGAAAATATCAGCCAGTATGAGCTATGACGGAGCTTTTCTGCCTAAGTAAGGCCCTGCCCACATTGACTAAACAGAACTGGAGCCTGTCAAGAGGATGGAGGTCTCCTAGAGATCTATTTAGGATCCCTCATCTCGCTTCATCTAAGGGTGAGCTCTAAACCCAGAAAGAGGATACCGGCTGATTGTGACATAGAACATAAGATGGCATCGGCATATTAGGGAAGGGGCAAAGGAGAGGCACAATGATGTACTAATGATTACAGAGCTGCATTCATTTGGGTCTTTATCTGCCTACAGTTCAACTTTATAGCCCAACTCAAGGGAAATGAAAAGTTCTCATGCAGTGGGAAAACTGCCCCTGAACTGCAAGGGTTAACTGCTCCTTTATGCCTAGGGGACAGGATAAAAAACTGTTTTACTTACCTGATCCCCGCTCCTACTGGCTCCCTCCAGCCTGGACTCCCCTTTGCTCTGACAGCCTGAGGCTCCATTGCCCTGCATGTAAGGATCCCAAGGGGCAGTCCACAGCCAGAGCAGAGGGAGGGAAGAGGAGATCGCAGACTTCTGGGGGAGCGGGGATCAGGTAAATAAAACCTTTTTTTCCTGTCGCCCTAGGCATAAAGGACCAGTTAACCCTTGCAGTGCAGTGAGCAATGACTGACAGTCACTGCTCTCTACGGGGAGATGACCGGGAACTGAGCGATCAGCGGTTTGTGATGGCTCAGTTCTCAATTTTTAGAACTGACTTGCGAGAGCTGCAGTGTCCCACGCCGGCTCTAACTATGGGGATGAGTGCATTTCCCTCTCCCCATACCTCGCCTTCAATAATCTGGAAGTTGGCCGTGTACAGGAAATGTATATTCCTGTAATTAAAATGGAAGGAAACTTGATGGGGGGGGGGGAGAAAAATTTGGGCCCCCCAGGAGATATTTGCCATAATGTGTACTCAGTATATTTGCACTTTAGGGCAAACTCCGAGCCCGTTCACATCAGTCACAAAGTGCTATTTCTAGCAACGTTTCAACGCACAGACAAGGCCTTGTTTTAAATGGGCTCAGTCCACATCCCTGCGTTGGGGTGTTGTGTGCTTAAAAGAGTACGGCATGCATTACTTTTTGCAGCACAACATGGTGCTGACCCAGTACAACAGCAGCACACTGCCCTGTGCCGAGAGGACTTTTCAGTAGGGATGCACCGATACTTGGCATTTTCATGAGAACTACCAGGGTTGCAGCGGTTGCAGCGGGGACCTGGCTCTGGCGCCCCACCACTGTCCTGAAATCATTAGTCCGTATTGTTTTAGAAAAACTGTCACATGACAATAAACAAAAATGTATCGGTACTTGTGTCTGAGGACTTGGGCAAGTACTTGGGCATGGTATCGGTGCATCCCTTTATTTATAAAAACAAAATCATACATTAAAAAGGAGAACTATGGAGGTGAGTGCTTTTCACTCACCTCATAGTTCTAGCCGACCTGTGACAATGAGACTGTCACAGGTCGGCTCAGTAGAACGGGAGGTGAGCGAACACATACCGGGTTCGCTCACCTCTCGATCCTGTCACGGCTCTCTGTCGTGACAGGGGAGGGGCTGGATTCCCCCCTCCGATCCGCCAGCGCTGACTGGCGGAACGGACGGGTCGGGTACAGCTGGCTCTGCCTCTAGATAGGCAGAGCCAGCTGTCACTCACACAGGTGGGCGGATCCAGACATCGATGTCGGGATCCGCTCTGGCTGCTGCGTCTCAGTATACGGTGAGCTGTAGCTCGAGGTATACTGAGGAGGGTGACTAGTTTGTGTCCTCCCATTACCCTGAGAACTATGGGGAAAAGCCCTAACCCCATAGTTCTCCTTTAAAACAGAGATGTACAAATCCCAGGAGCTCCGTGTGCTCCCTAAAAATGACAGCTGCCTCCTAACTTTTGGATTTTTCTCTAGTCTAGTCTTGGAGCTGGAAAGGTATCTGTACTTGGTATCGGTGCATCCCTACTTTTCACTAAAGGTCTAACAAAAATGTAAACAGTGCGGCGCGCTGGGATCGGCCCTGTGTCTGTCAGCGCAAATCAGCAGCCATGCCTTTAGCACTGCTTGCTGGTGTGAATGGACCTTACCACCCAAAACGATCCCCTCCAGCACTGTGATGTCTGTGCTCCCCTCCACAACCGGTGTTTCCATCTTCATCAAGGCTTCTCCAGGTTTAGGAGTCGTTGGCCATCTCAATTGTCTGGGCCGGATGACAAAGAGGAACTCTGAGCTAAACTTTTATTAACCCTTGCAGTGGAGCTACCCACACACTGCAAGGGTTAAGTGCTCGTTATTGTCGAAGTGCTAAAAAAAAAAAATTAAAAACCTCACCCAAACTGCTGAGCCAGCTCCCTGCTTCTCCAGTCTCTAAAGCCTGGCTCCTCCTATGCTGCAGTATTGGAATCTTCCTCAGCATCCTCACATCTATACACTTGTATAGAACATGATTTTTGGGACCTTAGACTGCTGCATAAGAGGGGGAGCGGGGCTGGAAAGACCGATCTAAGAACAAGCCGACCCAAATGTTCTGGGGGTATCTACCAACGGGGACACCTACGTAGGGAACTCCCACCACATTAAATTTCCTCTAACATCCTGTTGCATCTCTGGCACAGGAAGTGAAGGGGAATCTCCCCAATGGGACACCAGCAGCAGAACATTAGCTGACATGGGTCTTTAACCCTTTCCTTCCCTAAAACTACAGAATAAAGTTTTGGCTTATGTACACTTCAAATGTCCTGATTACCACGACTGGTGCGCCAACGTGTAATATTATTATACAGCTTGTACATACAGCCAGCATTGCCCCATATATAGGGAGATGTCATGCAGAAACCGAAACAGGGGGAATGCTGAGATATGTAGTCCAGAGGCTACCCCCACCATCCCAATCCATCCATCAGAGAAGGCGCCGCTCACCATTCCTGACAGAAGCGGATCCCCACGAACCCCGGCTCGTACGAACCATCCGCCTCCATCCCTTGCTCCGGAAATGATTCTGAGTACATGATGCACCGGAAGTCACGTGTCCCCCACACACACAGAGAGTAGCGTGAGCCTGGGAGGCCGAAGCCTTGGAGGTAATGTATGAGGATGGGCGGGGAAGTGGGCGGTGCTTACCTGCCAGCTGTGTGTGCCACTGTGTGTGTAGCCTAGTGCTGGGGGCGGAGACAGAACTGACAGCTGGAACGTTCAGCTCTGCCGCATCCAGTGTGTCAGCATAGTGATCGGTACAGAGGGCTGGAAGCTGTTCGATACCTGTGACTCACACATAGCTCTGGTTGCGAGAATCTACAGTTTGGCCATACACTGAGCAATCTGATTGTGCAATTTCTATACAGTCTCCTTTAGCCCCCACATGTTACAATCTGACTGCTCAATTTCTGTAAAATCAACTTTGGCTCTTCCAAAATTATATCATTAAATGTATGTAAATCATGCCTGCCTAATCTGTCCCATTACCGTATATCTAATTAGACAGGCTCTTGCACTGCATACTTACTGCTAGATCTAAAGAAGATTGTAAAATGAGATTGCAACATGTGTGGTGAGATTTGGACTTACTGAAACTATGTAATATAGAGACAAAGCTACACAGTTCTCTGCTTTGTATAAAATGAGACTAAAAAGTACTGCATACTTGTTTTGGGTCAACTATTGAAGCCAGAGGGTCAGCATGGCAGCAAGGTAGCTTACTTTTCCACATGCAGGTCAGCCATTAAAGTTTCCATATTTGTCTCAATCCCCTTGAACAAGTGAAGGCACACTCTAGTCAATACTGAACATTAGGCCTTGAAATAAAGATGGCGTGCACAGCCTCAAGGTTTCTGATTTTCTTCCAGGTATGGGGCATTAGTCCACTAAAAGTGAAGTCCAGCTAAAGTTGTTTTCTAAGCTTGGACAGAGCGGGAAGGGTCAGAACTTTCTTCAAGTCCAGCTAAAGCTGTTTTCTAAGCTTGGACAGAGCGGGAAGGGTCAGAACTTTCTTCAAGTCCAGCTAAAGCTGTTTTCTAAGCTTGGACAGAGAGGGAAGGGTCAGAACTTTCTTCAAGTCCAGCTAAAGCTGTTTTCTAAGTTTGGACAGAGCGGGAAGGGTCAGAACTTCCTTCAGGTTCCTATCGCAGTTTCTGGTCCCCCGTTGGGGAAATTTCTCTTCACTTCATATAATGGAGACACAATAGGAAGTGACTGGAAAACCCCCCACAGTGAAGTGAAATTCCAACTTTGAGGATTGTCTCTAGAAATTTCCTCTATAAGTAGATTTCTTCTCTATTCTTGTTCTGGTGACAACTCATAAAAGGTACAATTTCCCCTCACTGTATGTCCTATGTACTTGTTTGCAAGAGCAGAAGAATTTCCCAAACATAAACACTGTTGCTTCCTTGCTGTCTTCCGAACCTATTGTATGTTAGACTTCTGCGCCGTCAAAAAATTTGTTCCGTTTCGTAATATCCATTATTTCGTATTTCGTAATTCGTATCCGAAACTCAATTCGGATTCGTACGAAATATGAATTTTCGTTCATTTCGGCACGTTTTCGTAACTTTACGAACATTCGTTATGATGAAGTTAAAAAGCAAAAATACCTTTGTTAATATTGGAGTCTATGTGGTAGTTGTTTTTGTATCCGAAATACGAATTCCGTATCCGAATTTCGTATTTCAGACTTTAAAAAAAAACTACCATCAACTCCAATATATAAATGTACTTTGCTTTTTACCTTCAATATAACGAATGTTCGTAACGGAACGAAAATACATCAACGGAATTTCGTATGCTTACGAATCTACGAATTTCAGGAAAATTCGTACGAATTTCGATTCGTAACGAAACTAATCGCACATGTTTATTGTATGTAACTGTGATGTCATCATTGACGTGGCTCTGCTAACATGTTTTTTTAATTTATGTCAATTTAAAAAAAAATGAACAGTTTTTTTTTCCAAGCTATAAAGCACACTGGTACATAGATTACACATTACAAACAGTGATTGTGAAAGATTTCCATACGAGCCATTACAAACTGTGGGGAGATGGGGGACATTCCAAAGTGGTAAGTAATGTACATAGCAGGCAGCTTAAGGTGCCTGTCTACCATCCCCAAAACTTGGATCATCTTGCAGCCTGAAATGTCTACCGACCATCCCCAAAAGCCTGGGTCATCCTTCAGCCTGAGGGGCTTGCCTACTACCCCCAAAGCCTGGGTCATCCTGCAGCCTGAGGCGCTTGCCTACCACTCCCAAGGCCTGGGTCATCCTGCAGCCTGAGGTGCTTGCCTACCGCTCCCAAAGCCTGGGTCATCCTGCAGCCTGAGGGGCCTGCCTACAACTCCCAAAACCTGGGTCAATCTGCAGCCTGAGGTTCCTGCCTACCGCTCCCAAAACATAGGTCATGCTGTAGCCTGAGGGGCCTGCCTACCACTCCCAAAGCCTGGGTCATCCTTCAGCCTGAGGGGCCTGCCTACCACTCCCAAAGCCTGGGTCATCCTGCAGCCTGAGGGGCCTGCCTACAACTCCCAAAACCTGGGTCATCCTGCAGCCTGAGGTTTCTGCCTACCGCTCCCAAAACCTGGGTCATCCTGCAGCCTGAGGTTTCTGCCTACCGCTCCCAAAACATGGGTCATCCTGCAGCCTGAGGTTCCTGCCTACCGCTCCCAAAACATAGGTCATGCTGTAGCCTGAGGGGCCTGCCTACCACTCCCAAAGCCTGGGTCATCCTTCAGCCTGAGGGGCCTGCCTACCACTCCCAAAGCCTGGGTCATCCTGCAGCCTGAGGGGCCTGCCTACAACTCCCAAAACCTGGGTCATCCTGCAGCCTGAGGTTTCTGCCTACCGCTCCCAAAACCTGGGTCATCCTGCAGCCTGAGGTTCCTGCCTACCGCTCCCAAAACATGGGTCATCCTGCAGCCTGAGGTTCCTGCCTACCGCTCCCAAAACATGGGTCATCCTGCAGCCTGAGGGGCCTGCCTTCTACTCCCAAAACGTGGAGTATCCTATGATGCAAATACCAGCCGCATTCCCTTTCCTTGGCACGGACTCTATTCTTTCCCACTACATGTGCTCTACAATTGTCCCATCACCCTGAAGGATAACTCTACTCATAAACAGGAAGGAATTTACATGGAAGGGTACAGTGCTTTATTCAGCAACAAGGAAGCTTGGTTGGTAATTTTGAGGTTCTGGGGACACAACAAATGCTTCCACGGATCCCCAACATACAGTTTCACGTTATTTCCAGATAGGGAAAAACAGATGTCAAATGCAAAAGTTGCTAAAATAAAATATATTTTATCTTGCATATTTTCCAATTTTTTTTTTTTTTTTTTAAACAAGATGTTCATACCAATGAAAAAACTCTAAGCTGTAAAACCATTCCAAGTGAAAGCTAAAATGAAGATGCTGCATTTCTATGAAGATCATCCGTCATCCTGTACTCTCTGTAATGCTTCTTTCAATCTGTCCATGATGGCAATTGGACCGGAGTAATTATTGGTTTCCAACTCTCTTAACTTCTTCTGATATTGAAGTGGTAAATCATTCTGCTTTGCTCCCATGCACAAGACCTGCCAGAAGAAAATAAACACATATGCCATGTTAATTCCTCTGCTACACACATATCATCTGCCTAAAGTCAACTGTTCACTTTGCCAATGCAGGGAGGGGAAGGTAATCGGTAGTGGAAAAGGGGGTGGCTTATTACATCTATAGCTGTATTTTACCTTTATTAAATCAGTTTTACACTATGGAGGCTCTCCTTTTGCTTTGTTCCCAATACATAACCGGTTTGCCCTGACTGTGAGGAGCTGCCCCTGAGTGTTTGGAGCTGTGTTTGAGAGCTGTCACGTTTTTTGGCGCCAGTGATATTTTCATCTATACTTTTTCTCCTCGCCTGTTTGATGGTCACCCTCTCATGGACGTCATCATGTACAATGCAGGTCCAGTGATTCTGCATCATAGAGGAGGACATCAGGGGGCTCCCTGCATTCCAGGGCTGGAGTGGGAGCAAGTAGTAAATAGGAGAAGTAGGTATTCCTCTCTATTATGACCCCTGGACAAAGCAAGCATTAGAGCTTTACCATGCCATACCAAAACCCAAAAAGCTCAGCTTTAGTTCACTCTATCCCATGTTTTTTTTATAGTAGAATCCCACTAAATGCAAACTTACTTTGACTTATACAACAAGTTGCTATTATTATTATTATTATACAGGATTTATATAGCGCCAACAGTTTGCGCAGCGCTTTACAATATAAGGAAGACATTACAATCACAATACAATTCAAGACAAGATGGTAAGGAGGGCCCTGCCCATGAGAGCTTCCAATCTAAAAGGGAGGGGCAGTTGCTATTTACGCACCTTAATGGTCTAAAACATTTTGAGTCCCAATATATTACCTGCTTGTACTGAGGAGACGTCGGCCCATAAACACACTGATTCATCTGATAACATCGGCAAACAAGCTCTCCATCTGGTGTTTGGACACCGATCTCTATTGGTTGATACACACCCCCATTAACCCCTTCCTGGCTAAAGGAAACAAGAAACACAGTTTATTTAAGTATGCCTAGGAAAGAGAATCCATGCATACATCAGAAAGTATCTATTTATTACACCACAATCAATGCATAGGTAGGTGGTTAATTATATGGCCATATAAAAGTTGTTATAAAAGGCATTAAGGGGTATCAAAAGCCCAAACCTTTTACTGTAGTTTTAGATCAGGGAAGGGTTTAAACCCTAATCAAGTTTTTTTATTTTTTGCTGTCTGTGTCTCGTTGGGGAGATTTCCCTTTCACTTCCTGCCCTAGAGACGCAACAGAAAGTGAGATCTCTACGAAGTTAGGGGGATATACCTTTTTTGGCTGTTGCCACCAAAACAGTTGTTCCTGTTGGAAGATTTTCACCTCTTGTTCTGATGACAACTGTAAAATGGTGGATTTGCCATAACATTCTGTCTAAGTGACAGTGGTTATCATTGTGGGTGAAACTCCCTGGGAAAAGGGGTAGGGTGGGGGGTTGGGCACAGTCATCAATAAAACATTGACAGTGATTCTAATGCTTTCTTAAGCATTTTGCGTTTTGGGATTCCTGCTGCAGGAACCTACAAATTCTTGCGGCAGGAATCCCAAATATTCCATTTAGAAGTGGCCTCTGTCACCCGTTCATGTTAATGACCGGGTGAGAGCGGACGCATCTGTAAGCGGTACTCAGCATGTAATTGTAAGTGATACAATTACATGCAGTTTGGAATAGAACTACTGTGCAAGACAGACTCTCATCAGCAATAAAAACCTGACTGCCAGCAATGTTTTGTGAACTTGAGTTTAGCTCCACTTTAATGAAAAATTAAAATTAGGAAGACTAACTACTTCTAAAATTACATCAACATAAGAAAGGTTAACATCTTATCTCTTAGTTGCTGGATCCCAAACTTTGGAAATTTGTCCAGGCCTGACATAACTCTGCCTTAACCCTACCAAACTACCCATGGACATGAGACAGACAGTCTTTCTTCGAAATCTTGAAAGTCGTCAGAAGAAGTTTCTTCAGTACACTACTTTTGCCTATACTTATAAAGGGTTAAAAAATAAAATAAAAACCTGCATGCATTTTATGTGAGTTTTCAGCCATATGTTGGTGACTTCATATTTCAGCACAATATGACACAATTTGCATAAAATGACCTTACGCACTTACATGTCTAAGGAGTCCAAGCTGGAGATGTCCATCCTCCATACCACTCCCCAGACCTCATCTCCCTGGCTCTCCACCACTGTAGCCACTCCGCCATGCCACCTAGAGTTCCAAGCACCTTTGTGGCTTCCAAATGCAAGCCTGAAGTCCTAACATTAAAAGTATATGGAGATCAGTTACGAATACTCCTCGATGGACACATCCACGTGGACAAAAAATAAAACAGACGCTGACACATTCTAAAGCCTTTTCTAGTATTTTCAGGGAAAGGTCCTCAATGGTAACCACAGATATGACAGTCACCTGATGTCCCTATTTTTGGCTGGATCCTGTGATGACTTCAAACCCATCACCCATTCACTTGTCCTGATTGCTATGCATTTTCTTTATTAAACTGATTTTGGTCTCCTGATCATTGCTCTCCACTCTTCTCCATTCACATAAATTATGTCAACCTTCAGCAGATAACTTGCAATAAGAACAGTTAGTAGTAGCTGGTCACATTTAACTTTTTTTATTCAACTTGGACTTGTTTAGAATGTTGAATGTTCTTGTTTAATATGTTTCACTTCGGTTTATTGGTTCAACTTGTTCTTCAATTCAGAACTGAAGAAGCTGCTTGGATAAGCTGTGAAACATCTTCAACATTACAGAATAAGTCCACTTGAATGTGATCATCTACTAGGTATACCATGACCTGGATAAATGATACATTTCACAGATTTATGGCATTAAGGATGGTTGGGTCATGAAAGCATGAATGACCACTATAGCAAGTCCATAAGCAGCATAAGTGTCTGCTGTCACATAGATTACACCTGCACTTGCACATCCCCTTTAACATTAAATTACTCTGTATAATGTAACTATTCTTGATGACAAAAAGATATGTTCACAATAGATTTCAAAGGTTTGGCTTTTATCATTAGCCCCCCATTTCTCAGATGTCTTGGCTACTCCAACACCGATATCTCCTTGACATACTTCCCAACTCTGTGTCTATCCTCTTGGGAGTTTTAGGGGTTCATGCACATCTACAATATGCGTGTTACAGCTCTAGCTATTCAATTTTATACATCTTAAAACAAACTAAAAATCCAACAGGGCCAGTGAAAACCCCTCATAATAGACACAGCAGGTGTACAAACTCAGGAACTCAAGCACAGAGATCCCACCAATAGAGTTCTCACAAGTTGTAAAAAACAGTCTAGTGATTTAACCCTATAGCTCAGGGGTGGGCAACTCTGGCCCTCCAGCTGTTGTGGAACTACAAGTCCCATGGGGCATTGAAATACTGACAATTATAGGCATGACTCCCAGAGGCAGAGGCATGTTGGTATCTGTAGTTAAAGCACAGCTAGGGGGCCAGAGTTGCCCACCCCTGCTCTAGCTACTACCAATAACTGAAACATCCATTTTTGGTAGACTGGCCCAGGAAGTTCCTGTTGTTGACTGTTGTTGTAACTGCTTAAAAAGTGTTAGCTGGAGTTTGTATCTAATTTGTAAATCATATCCATCTAAAATTACTATATTTATAAATTACTATAAATGACTATTTTTATAAATAAAGTATAAATAAATTTATAAATAAGTGCATTGCTCCTCCATAGAGTGGAGCCACCCTGAGACAGGAAGTGTGTTACTGGCTGGATTACCAGGTAATAATAAAGGGGGGGAAAAGCCTAAAACAAGAAAACTAATGTAGCCACCACATTTAATTTTTGTTTTTAGGTTTAGATACACTTTAAGTGAACCTGCTCTTGATCTGAGCATTGCTTGAGGTTCTTAGGCCATTCTTGCTGCGCTAGCTAGAGGTATGGAGCTCCTTTATGCAGTTGGCATTGCTATTTATTGCACAGGAATCTGATGGAAAATCTCCCTACAAGAGGGTCCCTATGCTCCATGGTGCCCAATACTGGGCAAGGATCATGGCAGATCCTGGCATTCACTATGGTGCTGTGAAACTAGGAAGACATTTTTTATGCCTGTTGTCCTCACCGAGATATCCACCCATTTAATGCCAGCCTTAGAAATAACATAGGGTTGCATGGAAGAAGGGTAAAACTGTGAAAACTATGCCACATGAAGTTTTCTCTGCACCTAAGGGAATATTTTTCCTAGAATAAATATAAACAGCTCTCTGTCATTTCTACAAACATTACACAATACAATGCAATGGCAACCTGGACACATACTGTAGTGTAGATGTAAAACCAGCTATATAGGAACATGGCCACTCGTTAACCTGTCTGTTAATTATCACTAGACTGAACTATGCTCACTTGTTATAGATCATTCTTAACTAGCATGACATTTACTGTGCCAATATGAAAACAGTTTTACAAAGGATATGCAAACCTAAGAACCCAAATTTGATGTATTACAGCTCTTGTTGTTTTCATTTTTCAGGCTAAGTACAGAAAATTCCTGTTGATCCTGCCAGAAATGCAGTGTCCTTGTCGCTTTCAATGACTTGAATATATATATATTAAACAATGTTATCTTCCTTTCCAATATATCTTCTGTAACTACTAATTCCCTTTCCACCCATGTAATGGAGATAAAGAGAGGAAGACGTTTTTAATACTACTGTCCAAGGGTGACAACCATGGTTCCTTACCTAGATACAGTCGAGTGAGCAAGCATAGCCACCCTGAGATAGGAATTGTGTTACTTGCAGGATGACCAGGTTTAAATAAAGGGGAAAAGTTTGAAAAGGGAAACCAATGCAGCCACTTCATGTAAGGCTGGCTTTCTCAACCAGAGTGCCTTCTGGCTTTCTCAGGGGTATCTCAAAATGTTCACGGCGTCAGGCCTTTCCATGGTGTAGACAGGCTCACCTCCAGCACCATGGAAATGAATTGCGCTAATCCAGGAAACGTGGGATCCATTCAGAGAAAGACAGAGGTTCACCTCCATCCAGACCTGCTTTCCACCCTCTGCCATGCCGCCACAGCTGTGGCTCTTCATGTGAGTGTAGGACTCTGATGTGAAAGGGGAACTGTGGATTCGAATGTGAAGGGTCTTCTGATGTGAAGGGGGCTCCTGATATGAAGAGGAGATATCTGATGTAAAGAGGGCTCTCCTGGGGTAAGAGAGGGTTACTCTGATGTGAAAGGAGGGTACTCCTGATGTGAAGGGGGAGCTCTGATGTTAAAAGGGGGACTCTGATGTGAAAGGGGGTTTGCAATGTGAAGGAGGGACTCTGATGAGAATGGGGGACCCCCACTTTTTTAGCTGTTCTAGGAGTCATGTTCTAAGGGTTATTTAATTGATTAAAAATATTTATTTGATGTTTTCCTCTATCCTCCAGCTTTGTAGGTTTATGGAACATGTTGCTGACAATGATTTTCAGCATTCTCTACAATGCAACAAACAGAATACCAGCACAGAGCAGACCAGAATTCTCCACTGTTTGATACACAACATCTAGATGACACTATTCTATCAGTGTGGGTAAGGGAAAAGTCCAATCCACTGGCATGCATTTTGCCAATGTAATGCGCACTTCTAAATGATGAAAACGTATTACAATTCCTTCTCTACTTAGATAATAAAGCTGAACTCCAGGTAAACCAAAAAATTCACAGCTTAAAATACATATATAGGAGCTTTTTCACCTGCCAACTGATTTCCATCAACAAGACAGTATTGAAGCCAATGGTCCAACATGACAGCAACTATGTATGCCATAAATGCAGGTTAAGGCCCCTGATACACTGCATGCAAAGCCGTGCCGAGCAAAGCGCGGACATTCGCATGCAGTGTGTGAAAGCAGTGCGGCCAGATGAAAGACTGCATTTTCAGCCAATCGAGTCGTGCGTCAATGGATTTTGCATTCTGACGCGCGGGTTTATAAGAGTGAGCCGATTGGGTGAAAATGAAAATTTTCATCTCAGCACGCTCAGCTATGCAAGCTCTGACAAGCCGATGCGCTGGAGTGAAAATGACAAGACACACTGCACGCAAAGGTCTGCGTGCCACAGCTCCACGCTGCTTGGCGTGCAGTGTGTCATGGGCTTAAAGTGACGTTAAAGGCAGTCCCCCCCGCCCCCCATACTGCTGTGGGCACTTACCTTATTTGATGCCTCTTGAGCCGATCATCTTCTTCCTTCCACTCATTTTCCACAGTCCCTCCAGCGCTGGTGCCGGTCTTTGATCCACTGCAGACTCCTTGGGTCCCACGCTGTCTGTCCGACGTGCACGCTCCTGGCTGCGTCCATCCAGCTTCTTCTCTTCTCTCCTCCAACGATCTGGCCTTGGCATGCGCCCACCCACATTTCCTTCTTCACAGCGTTTGGGAGATGGGACTTCTGCTGCAGGGAGGGAGCGGCGCTCACACAGGTAAGTGCTGGGGCATATATCTACTGCTTACTGGCAGTAGATATATGCCCAAAAAAAAACAGACTTTAATTATACTTTAAAGTGGACCTTTACCGCCTTTTACTACATATCACATTAGCATGCAGCTCTGTATGCTGATTTAAAATGATCTTACATTCATTAGTTTAAAAAAAAAGTGTTTTTCATTTACTTACAAATTGAGTAAATCTACTTCCTGGTCCAGATTTGGTACAAATGATGTAATGTGCCCAAGCATTGCATCCTGGGAAGGTTACATCAGCAGAGCATTTGCTAAGAAATCTCATCTGTAATCTCATGAGATCTCAGGGAAAGGCATTTTCCTCCCCAGAGATCATGTGCATGGTCACATGTCCTACTCACATGTGCAAGAGTTCCACGAAGTAAATGGAGAGCTAGTAATCTGCCCTTAGTTAACATGGCCACTGTCCTACTCACATGTGCAAGAGTTCAAGGAAGTAAATGGAGAGCTAGTAATCTGCCCTTAGTTAACATGGCCACTGTCCTACTCACATGTGCAAGAGTTCAAGGAAGTAAATGGAGAGCTAGTAATCTGCCCTTAGTTAACATGGCCACTGCCAGAAGATTGTGAAAGAAAAGAGAAATAAGGTATGCAAAGAATATAAAGCCGGCAATTATCTAGAAGTATGTGTTTATAGATTGTCATTACTAAACATTTCTAAATGTTTTAATTTGTTATTTTAAAGTTATGGGTAAAGGTCCTCTTTAAGATATCCAAGGGCTGCACAATAAGTACCAAAGAGTCACAAGTTGGGTACCAGGGGGATAGATAGATAGATAGATAGATAGATAGATAGATAGATAGATAGATAGATAGATAGATAGATAGATAGATAGAATAAATCCACAGTCTGTACAAATGGAAGGTCCATTCGTGTCTGTGTGTCTAACAGCCTCTACCCATACATTTATATTGTTAAAGGATGACCACTCTGCCCAAAAAGAATCACTTATTTCTTATGGGATGTATGTCTCACACTCGTAGAATACCCTGTGATCACTGTGCTGTGTATGTCTCACACTCGTAGGATACCCTGTGATCACTGTACCGTGTATGTCTCACACTAGTAGAATACCCTGTGATCACTGTGCTGTGTATGTCTCACACTCGTAGGATACCCTGTTATCACTGTGCCGTGTATATCTCACACTTATAGGATACCCTGTTATCACTGTGCTGTGTATGTCTCACACTTGTAGGATACCCTGTTATCACTGTGCTGTGTATGTCCCACACTCATAGTATTCATTAATCATCTGCTGACTCATTGTGTATCAGTCCTTTTCTAGAAAGCACTAGCACATAACAACCCATAGAATGCAAGCCTGCACTGTCATACATGTGCTAATACCATACCCTGACCCACATATCCTGCACTGCAAGCACCCCATACTGGCTGTTCCGGGAATGTATGGGTCTCCATGCTGTGTAGGTGGTTGCATTTTAAATCAGATTGTTCAGAAAATCTGAAAGCACCTTGAGCAAAGCAATGCTGTGGAATGAAGCAGAAGGGTTGTCCAGCAGGATCCTCTCTTTCAGCAAGTTGCTTCCATAGGCAAAGTAATAGAAGGAGTCTTCTCCGGGCAGGAGACCAGCAGAGTCCTTTCTCTCCATGTCCATCCTCTCTGTGTGCATATGCAGCGTCCTCTTACTGCCAGTTGTCACCACAGCACTGTACTGATCTATTATATTACAGGGTAAAGGACCCGCCCAGGGGTGTGACCCTCTGTGCCTGCCCACATTCCATAGTGCGCATGCTTCTTACCCACAGCCAGCCTAAGGTCCAGCCAGTCACTAGCTGCAGCATCCTTGTCCTTCACTGTGTTAACCTTCTGATCCCTGGAAGCGGCATCCTTGTCCTTCAGTGTATTAACCTTCTGATCCCTGGAAGCGGCATCCTTGTCCTTCAGTGTATTAACCTTCTGATCCCTGGAAGCGGCATCCTTGTCCTTCAGTGTATTAACCTTCTGATCCCTGGAAGCGGCATCCTTGTGCTTCAGTGTATTAACCTTCTGATCCCTGGAAGCGGCATCCTTGTCCTTCACTGTATTAACCTTCTGATCCCTGGAAGCGACATCCTTGTCCTTCAGTGTATTAACCTTCTGATCCCTGGAAGCGGCATCCTTGTCCTTCACTGTATTAGCCCTCTGATCACTGGAAATGACATCCTTGTCCTTCAGTGTATTAACCTTCTGATCCCTGGAAGTGACATCCTTGTCCTTCACTGTATTAACCCTCTGATCACTGGAAATTACATCCTTGTCCTTCACTGTATTAACCCGCTGATCAATGGAAGTGGCATCCTTGTCCTTCACTCTATTAACCCACTGATCACTGGACGTGACATCCTTATCCTTCATTGTATTAACCCTCTAATCACTGGTAGCAGCATCCTTGTCCTTCACTGTATTAACCCTCTGATCACTAGCTGCAGCATCCTTGTCCTTCACTGTATTAACCCTCTGATCACTAGCTGCAGCATCCTTGTCCTTCACTGTATTAACCCTCTGATCACTAGCTGCAGCATCCTTGTCCTTCACTGTATTAACCCTCTGATCACTAGAAGTGACATCCTTTTCTTTCATTGTGTTAACCCTCTGATCACTAGCTGCAGCATCCTTGTCCTTCAGTGTATTAACCCTCTGAGCACTGGACGTGACATCCTTGTCCTTCACTGTATAAACCCCGGATCATTGGAAGTGACATCCTTGTCCTTCAGTGTATCAACCCTCTGATCACTGGAAGTGACATCCTTGTCCTTCACTCTATTAACCTTCTGATCACTGGAAGTGACATCCTACCCCTAGGTTGCCTACCCCTGCCCTATAGTATTTACCTACACTTCTCCCCCGGCAGCTACATAAAAGATTGTGTAGGGGCATGCGAGCTGTGCCAGACAGATGAGAGGGCTATGTAGGGTTGCCACCTTTTTTTTTCAAGCCAAACCCGAACACTGTAGCTCCTTGCGGCAATTTTTTTGTAATGTATATATTATGCATATATTTTGTGATTAAATAACATTGGAGTTAATCACAATGTATCACAAATCATATAGAGTTAATCACAACTTGCCAGTGTGCCACAGGTCCCCACATATGCATTCTGTACATAAAAGATGCCCCCATAAAACTCCAGTGTGCCACAGGTCCCCAGATATGTACTATACAAAGCAGTATCCATATACCTTGCCGCACTCTTAACTGGATATCCCAAAAGTAATGGGTGCTCCTAATGACTGCAGATGGCGCTGCTCACAACAGAACTACAATACAGATGTCACCAGCACATCAGCACCAAGATTCCATGTTGGTGCCAATTAGGGATGCACCAATGCCGTTTTTCGGTATAGAGTACGAATACCGATATTTTTTTTTTGCGGTACTCGGTATTCGGTGTCTTATGCTTCCCGGCTTCCTGATTGGCTAGGAAGCCGGCTTCACTCTTTTCTAGCCAGTGTGGCTTTCTGACCAATCAGGGAGCCGGGACGCGAGTCATGACGTACCGCCCAGCCAACAAATAAAGCTGACTTCCTAGCCAATCAGGAAGCTGGCCGGCACGTCATGACCTGCCTCCCGGCTTCCTGATTGGCTAGGAAGCCGGATTCACTTTTTCCTAGGCAGCCTGGCTTCCTGGCAATCAGGAGGTTGGGAGGCAGGTCATTACGTGCTGCCCGGCTTCCTGATTGGTTAGGAAGCTAGGCTGCTTAGCAACACATGAAGCCAGCTTCCTTGCCAACCAGGAAGCCAGGAGGCGGGTAATAGTTCCGGTATCGGAGGTAAGTATCGGAGCATTTGGGGCGAATACGAGTACTCGCCCAAATACTCTGTATCAGCACCGATAACTATACTAGCATCGATGCATCCCTAGTGCAAATCCATTTTATTGATAGTTCTCATTCAAACGACAAACGCTTTTGGGGCTGCGCAGGGTCCCCTTCATCAGGCTCAGAAATTACATTCTAGTATATCTATATAAAGGTTGCGGTACTTCTATGCAGTTTAATTTCTGAACCTGATGAAGGGGACCCTGCGCAGCCCCAAAAGCGTTTGTCGTTTGAATGACTACTATCAATAAAATGGATTTTACACTAACGTGGAATCTGGACATCTGTATTGGACGATATGTAGTATAGCACATAAAATATGCCACCACAAAAGATGTCACAGGCTTACCTGTGGCATTTTATTTATGGGGGCATGTTTTATGTGCAATACTAACCCCCCAATTGATATTTATTTTGATAAACTGTTATAAATACCTGTTTATAAATAGAGAGGTCCAGTGGAGAAGAAGGACGGTCACAGTCACAGAGGTCCCAGAAGAGATGAAACCGCTCCACGCAGGCTGCCGGAGGATGATTTCTCCCTCGCTTCGCCTCTCTCTGATGTCACTTCCTCCCGCTAAAAGAGGGAAAAAACAGAGAGAGAGGAAGTGAAGACAGCACCACCCGAAGCTCGCCGCCCGCCTCTCGCTTCCCAGAAAAGAAAAGGAGAGAGGGAGTGAATAAAGCGCCGCCCGCCACTTGCTTCCCAGAGAAGAAAAACAGAGGGAGGGAGTAAAGACAGCGCCACTGCCCCCAGGTGAGTAAGTCTGCGACTTTGTCTGGTTCATGTGCCCAGGCGCAGGATTTCAAACCCGGACTGTCCGGGTGAATCCCGGACTAGGGCCAACCCTAGGGCTATGACATGCAAAGAGAGAGGGAGGGAGCTGTGCTAGGGAATTGACCTTTTTAGTCACATTTTCTAGTACATTCAGAGACATTGCAAGTGAATGAAAACTTGTTTAAAAAGAAAAATCACTGCAAGTAAGCATTTAAAATACCTAGTTTCTGCTTTTACCTGCAATGTTTTAAGTTGGTGACAGGGTCTCTTTCATTTGCATGTATATGAAATCCTTACAGAGAAAACATGAAGGCGGTATTGCTAACATTGCTTCTAGAAATGCTAGTTTCCTGGTTGATACTTCTTGATTCACCTTTAGGATGTCTGCACAGAGAGTACATAACATGCATAGAATCGGGTGAAATACACATATCACTTTTACATAGAGATGGGTAGCTCATGAGCGATCCGGATCTATTGAGCGGCTCCCTCAGAAGAATGAAAGAGCGGTGGCTCAGTAAAAATGAGCGGTGGTTCTTCTGGTCTGTTGTGCTCTGTGGATGGAATGTAGAAGCAGAGAGTGAGACGAGTGTAATCGGCTCTTGTAATATGATCTTAGAGTACAGCAATGCAGAATAGCTTCAACTATGTAGTACTACAAGTCCCAGCAATGCATTATAGTGGGTGGGGGTGCTACTATAGTAAGAAGAGCGGTTTAGTGAACCATGAGCCATTTAAAAGATTCGGATCTTTTCAGTGAGCGATCCGTGGAGGAGCGCTCATGCAGAAGAACCGTTTTGCCCATCTCTACTTTTACATGAACATTGTTTAAATGAATTGCCTGGCGACAGGGTCTCTTTAAACACAGAGACAGCAAATCGTCTCCGCCCACTTTCTGATTCAAGGCCAATAGAAGCTGTAAATCAAGCTGACCAATGACAACGCGTCCGGGGATTGTGAGCAGAGATTACTGGCCGATTCAGTTGTGAATGGATAATCTGCATTGGTCCGAGGATGTAATTCGTCAACCAATCACATTGCAGGAAAAAAATACGTTTCCTCTGACACTCATCTCCTTATTCTGCCCTTCTGTTACCAGCAGCCGTGACGTACCCTAGACTCTTTTTTGTCATTGGTCGAGGACTAAGGGTTATCCGGAAAGCGCTCCCTGTACTCCCTCCTTTCTGCTAGCCGCCGCCATCATGGTGAGTAGCCTGTACTTGTGCTCTGAGAGTCCGAGGCCGCCGTGTGCGCCCTGGTGGGAGTAAAGATGGTTGAAGAAGTCCCGGAGAGCGGCGTCAGCCTGGGCTGCTTGTACTGTGGTGTTAAACTCGCATAGCTATGTGTAGAATGAGGATAGTGAAGAGAGGTCGGGGCAGCATGGAGAGCGGAGCTCAGGCCTACAGGAGCCCGGCGTGTGTGTGCTCATTTGCTGGGGTAGATGGGTGCTGGATCCTCTTAAGTAATGGAGGCCTCGGATCCCACGTGGAAGTGAATGTATAATGTGGTGTGCTCGTACACGTGGAAGGGCCTACCCAGCTTCTAGCCCTGCACAGTGCCATCTATAGTGGAGCCTACCCAGCTTCTAGCCCTGCACAGTGCCATCTATAGTGGAGCCTACCCAGCTTCTAGCCCTGCACAGTGCCATCTATAGTGGAGCCTACCCAGCTTCTAGCCCTGCACAGTGCCATCTATAGTGGAGCACACCTCAGGATTCCTGTAATAAACGCTGTGGACCTAATCGGAGCAGTGTGAATGGGCCTAAACGATACGTCTGCATTAAGATTTATATAAATTATGCATCTGACCCCAGAAATGTGCATGTTTGTGTTCCTGACCCCTAACATTCTACCTTTTCTGGGCCAGGAGGGGAAAAATCCCTTTCGAGTAAGTGGTGGAGTCACCATGGTGATTCTGCTACTCGCACTTTGAGCTGATGTGAGGCAACATGCATCTAAGCCCAAGAGCAAAAATTTTATATATTGCTGCTTACCGGCCCTTAGATGTGGTGGCTGCATTCTTTTTACCTTGGTAAACCAGCCAGAAACACACTGGATGGCCTGAGGTGGCAACAATCAGTTGGCTGTTGGAAGCTGCACTTTCTGAAAATGCTAGCTATCTGGCTGTCATGCTAATGTAAAGGTTTCATTAACTTCACTTTCTGGAACAAATATGTAGATCAGCCCCGCCAGCTCAACAAGTCGATTATATGAGGAATGGTGCCCGTCAGTCAGATGGTGCCTGGTCACTGTTCCGGTGTACTGATATTTTTCTGGCTGTCGGGATGTAATAGTGCGGAGGCAAAGTAATTGGGGGGGGGGTTCTTTATCAACCTGGTTTAGCTTGAATAGAGGAATCTGCATGAATCTGTAATCTACCTGCTAGTTCTGGTGCAGTGACCCCAAGGTACGGAGGCTGTATTCAGCCAGACAGTTGACATTCTCTGGTGTACTATGTCCCTTTTACTGTACAACTTGGCGTATCTTTTCTTAATATTAGGGATGTTCAGATACAAGTGCCGATACTTGGCATTTTCAAGAGAACTACCAGGGTTGCAGCTTGGGACCTGGCTCTGGCACTCCACCACTGTCCTGAAATCATTAGTCCGTATTGTTTTAGAAAAACGGTCACATGACAATAAACAAATGTATCAGTACTTGTATCTGTAAGTACTTGGGCAAGTATCAGTACTCGTGCATCACTTGTATATGTTTATAAAACCAAAATCGTGCAATAAAATACATGTGCAAATCCCAAGAGCTCCGTATGCTCATTACACATGACAGTTGCCTTCTTACTTTTGGATTTTTCTCTAGTCTAGTCTTGGAGCTGGAAAAGTATCTGTACTTGTACCGAGTACTGTACTTGGTATCTGAACATCCCTACCTAACACTATATCTTAACTGGTTCCAGTTAATGGTTTGAGATACTGTAAATGTTAGCGACCTTTCAGAATGTATTTTATACTGGGTGGGTGCAGCACAATGTGCACTTAGAGCTTCACTCCGTGAAGTCCTACAAAATAAGGCAGATACTGGGGAAAATTCTGGTTTCAGAACTGGTGGCTTCCATCCCTGTCGGACTGTTTAATCATAAGTGCTGTTGTAGTTCATAAAGCATTGGAAGTGTCCCTGTGATTTCAGTACTAGTCGGAGGCTTACGAAAACTTGACTCCAGCCTCCCAATAAGGACATGGCAGTAAGAACAGTCCCCAACAGTGACACTGCAGCAAAAACTGAGGTTCTAAATCTTACCCACATGATCTGTAGATCTGATATATTGTTGCTGTTGGCCAATACTGCAATATATTAAAGGTTTTGTCTGGCAAGCTGACTTTTTTTTTTTCTTTGCAGGTGTTCAAACGCTATGTGCAGATAGGCCGTGTTGCCTACGTCTCTTTTGGTCCCCATGCTGGCAAACTTGTGGCAATTGTTGATGTAATCGACCAAAATAGAGTAAGTATTAGCTTGTGCATGACATCAGAGAAATGCTTAGAACATGAATGTTTATAGTGCTGTGATTCTGGTGCATTAAAACAACCCTTTAAAGGGTAAAAATATGCAAACAAAGCTGCTCTGGCAAAGACATTTAGAGGAATTTATTAAAACCAGAGCAGTTGTCCATGGAAACCGATCCGCATCCACCTTTCATTTTCAAACCTAAACTGAATAGAGAAGCTTAATGGTTGCCATAGGCAACTGCTCCAGATTCTTCTCCAGTTTTGATAAACCCCCCCGCCCCCCGTTGAGAGGAATTTATCAAAACTGGATCAGACAGAATCTGGAGAAGTTGCCCATAGTAACCAATCAGCTTCTCTCTTCAGTTAAGCTCTGAAAATGAATGCACAAAGCTGATTGGTTGCCATGGCCAACTGCTCCAGATTCTTCCTTGTACAGTTTTGATAAATTCCCCTCATTGTGTTCTGTCCTTTCTCCCCTCTTCAGACACCGCAGCCTTTGTATGTGTTAGTATTTGATACTTCCAGAAATGTTGGTTGCCCCCTTCTGTGCATCCTGGCTCATCTTCTGATCTCTACATAACAACATGTTTCCCATTGTATATTTAACAGACCAAAAGGGAACGAATAAGAGAAGTTTATGGTTGGTGTTTACTTAGACGTTAACTTGCTAGACGTGATGTGACCTGGTTCTAATCTAGGACCGTCATATTAAATCTAGCTAACGTTGCAGATTTTTGCCATGTAACAATTCTTCAGATATGCAAATATTGCTCCTCGCTAACCCTATGATTGTCATTTTAACTGCTGTATCATTTTTAATCCTGTGAGTCCCGAGGTTACTAGCCACAGGTGTGTCAGTTATTTTGTATGGGGATTCTCATTTTTTAAATGGTTGCTGTTATAATTTGCAGAAAAGACAACAATTGCACCAATGTTTGTCAGATATTGTGTCATAGTGACATTCAGCATTCTGCAGGTTCTTTGCTTTTTCATATTCTTGATCATGCCTGATCTCCATTTCAGTGACGTCAAAAGAAATTGCTGTATATTTACTGTTTGCTGAAATATATACATTTTTTTTTTTGTTCAGGCTCTAATTGATGGTCCTTGCAGTGGCGTAAGAAGGCAGGCCATGCCATTCAAGTGCATGCAGCTTACGGACTTTGTTCTGAAGTTCCCCCACAGGTAATTATATGCTCAGGTGACCCTTTCAGTAACTGCACATCAGGAAACGATAACCAGCTTGTAAAAGGAACTCCTTACCTTTTGTGGCAGGCAGTGTCCTAAAACTTTGCTGTATTGTAGATCTCCAGCTCCTGCTGGTATCTGATACTTTGGATGTGATGAATCCCCTGCCGCAGACTGTGGTTCCTGTTGTCGGTTTCCCAGTCATAACAGGCCACAGTAAAGAAGTGGTTGCAAACCTCTTAATTCCCAATTCCATTTACATGTCACAGCCATTACAATTGATGAGACATCAGCACTGGGGCCTGCAGTCAATAAAATCTGGTGGGTGACCAGAACTAGTAGACAGTGGCACCTCTCTATCCTGACGTGTCTTAAGGTGGCCATACACTCTGATTATTGTTAGTTTTATTTCGGCCATCATCGTGGTCCCCCCTCGAATACCCCATCATGCACATACCATTGTCGATTTGCATAAATCCTTCGTTAGCAATACTAACTCACCGAATTGCGTCGATCGACAAATGATTTTCGTTTGCTTATGTGCGTTCTTGTTGCGTGTCTTTTTTTTTTCCGTGCGAAAACAATTCGAAAACGTTTTCCAGCCTCACCCTTAAGGCTGTGACACACTGCACGCGGAGCGGTGGCGCGATGCCTTTACATGCAGTGTGCCATGTAGTTTTCTCCGGCGCATCAGCTCGCATATCTGAGCGTGCCGAGATGAAAAATGTCGTCTTCTGCAAATTGGTTCACGTGTATAAACCAGCGCGTCGGGAAGCGACGTCCAGCCGGTTGTTATGCACAAGCCGATTGGCTGAAGGTGTTGTCATTCATCTGCCTGCACTCAGATCACACACTGCATGTGAAGCTCCGTGCCTGACAGCTTTGCTTCGCTCTGCGCGGCTTCGTGTGCAGTGTGTCACTGGCTTTAGAGGAAATTTGGCTAGGAGTACAGTAAAAAAATAAATTGTTGGGTTCCCATTAACTGATCGATTTATCGTTTGAAAAACCATTCGTGGCTGATTTCCGAACGATAATTGATAGGTGTATGGGCACCTTAAGAAGCATCAGGTTCTTTAAGCATTTGCGAAGGTTTAACAAGACTATAAACAGCACACAGCTCACCCCTGTCATGCATCCTTGGAATCCACTTTCGGTGCAGGGATGACCCTCTTCTGGAGTGATTGTTTCACAAACTGTAGAACCAGGCCCCAATTTTTGTTTTTTATATAAATGCATGTGGATTAAATAAAGTTTGATTTTCTTTGGAAGAGCATCGCGTGCTGGTTCTCCAATTTTTAAAGGTTTAACGTGCTTCAAGCTGTTTTCTTGAAGCACCCTTGAGCCCCAGTATGGGAGCACCGATGGCAGTGGGGGAAATATGAAGGTTGTTTCTGCTAACCTTGTTCTGAAAATGTTAGTTGCCCGGTTGTGTGGCCTCAATACCTTGTAAGTCAATGATCTGGAGCAAGCATGCAGCAAGTCTAGTTAGAGCTCCTGATCTGCATTCTTGTTTGTGGTTCAGCAAAGAATAAACAATGCCTCTATGTATGGAGTCTGATGAGGAACTTTGTGTTATAGAAATAAGGGAGCTGCCATTGCTGACTTGTTTGAAGACTCGGGGTGGGATTCATCTATTTTTCATTAAGGCAGAAAGTAATGGGAAATTCAGCTGAGGAATTCCCTCACTTTGCCTCCTTTCTTTGCTGCTTGGAAAGGAAGCAAAGAAAACTCCCCAATGAGAGCAGAAATAAAATTGGGTGTTTTTCACATTAGGAACGCTATGAATCTTACATAAAAACTGTTTTCTACTGGGCAGTAATGAAAGTTTCTCATAATTATTTTCTTTTTTAGTGCTCGGCAGAAGTATGTCCGTAAAGCCTGGGAGAAGGAGAAGGTCGAGGAGAAATGGGCTGCTACTAACTGGGCAAAGAAGATTGATGCTAAAGACAGGGTAACTTTTTTTTTTTTTTTTTTTATAGTTCTCATCCATTGAAAGCATAGGGGTTTGGCTTCCTAGTGGTCTTGCTGAACACAGCAGATCATTTTTCTCACCTTTTTATCCGTTAGTGTTTATATAATCGCCTGTTAAACTTTTGGACCTACGTCCTCCTATTTTTAACTTCTAAGTTGAAGTTAGAATGCAAACTACTTGCTGAGCTTGAGATTGCTGCAGCATATCTTTGCAGGTATTTAGTGTTGGGTGCTGTGATCCTCTCAAACTCCTGTTTGAAATTTCCTTCTATGCTGAAACAATGCACCATCAGTTCAGTACAAAGTGCATACAAGTTTGCAAAAGGATGTCACCAGCACACCATTTAATTGAAATCAACAGAAGTCCATTAATGGAGTACTGTCATTCCAGTACAAGGGCATTCAGGGCCCCACAGGGTCCCCTTCATCAGGCCCGAAAGCGCTTGGACTGGAATGACAGTACTCCATTAATTGACTTTTGTTGATTTCACTTTAATGGTGTGCTGGTGACATCCTTTTGCAAACTTGTATATTTTCACGGCGTCATCCATGGTCACTACGAGCACCCACCAAGATTTCAAGGAACATCCTATACAGGTAAGGAGTGCAGCAAGACACCTATATATAACTACAAAGTGCCTAGACACTAGCTAGCTGGCTGTTTGTTCCTTCATGGTATGGATTGATGTTTAGATGACCCTGTGTTATTAGATGGTCACATATGTTGACAGCTATTTCATTATTGTCACAGCTGCTGGCAGCATTAGCAATATAAACCCATTCACTGAATAGGAAAAGTGACTGTCTCTTCAAAAAGTACATTATCAAAATAATGTGCTGGTGTAGAGGACACTTCTCAAGCAAAAATATTTCCCGGGAAAGGTTAAATATCTTTTCAAACCTCTCTTGGTTCTTCCATTGGAAACAAAATGTGCTGTAGTTCTTGACTATTTGCTATGGAGTCTTGGTGCGTCTTTCTTTGATTACCAGCTCAGTTTTGACAAGTTCAGAGTATCATAAAAAAAACTAAATCTTACCTCTGTCCTTGGTTGCACAAAAGAAATTGCTGACATGGTTTAGCTCCATGGCTAAAATATTTTGGGATTGGCTGATTCTTTAAAGCAACTCTGCTGCTAAAAGGAATAAGTCAAGCCTTAAAAGTACAATACTTCCCAATCCTGCCACTAGTGACTTCATTCTTTCCAAAATCTAGAATCACTATCCGAATGCTGAAGCATCTGCCATTTCCTGGGTGTGTCCGATAACTGCATTTCCTTCTTGTATGCTGTGATTTCATCCGCTATGCCATTTGTGTGTCCCGGGAGCTGCAGGAACACATTTGTGATGTAGTTGCCAGTGGGTGGAACCATAACCTGCAACTAGGGGATGTGAACAGTTGCTTTAATGTGTTCAGGGTTGTGCTGACAGACGGGTCATGTCTGCGCGTCCAATTGTTGTACCTGTTCACACGCTGGAATTGAATGTCACATCTGGAGAAGTCCATACTCATTCCTTTGTAGCCGCTGTCAATTCTAACATTGATGTTTGTTTTTGTATGATGAATCCAATTTTTGCTCTGTTGCAGAAATCAAAGATGACAGACTTTGATCGTTACAAGGTCATGAAGGCAAAGAAAATGGTAAGCTTATCTTTTATTCTCACAATAGAGCATGTATGGGTTGGAAACAGATGCTGAATCCATACACTGGCTTTCATGTAGATATTAAAACCTCAGTAAAATGGCCGTATCATAATTTAATATTGGAATGACCCTAAGAACTCGAGTGAAATAAGGGTTGTATTTATAAAGCAGAAGTATGGCCTTACTGTGTGCTTTACAAATGTACATTACACTCTTGTTTCAGGATTTAGAAGCAAGCTAAACATTAAAATGAATGGGGGGGGGGGGGGGGGGGGGG